CCCCAAAACCCCAAAACCCCAAAACCCCATCAATCAAATGATGATTAAGAAATAATATTGAAATTAAAGATCAATAATAGTTGGCATATTCTTTTATGTCTACACCGTATCTATTTGAAAAAAGATAGGCAAGCATTGAAATATCTTCTCTCTGCTAGCAATATTGCTTCATAACAAACTATTCATAGACTGGTATCTTCTTGAAGTTTTCATTTGATATAAAATAGCATGCCACTTCATCAGTTACCACTTCAATATCGCCATAGTAAGAATAGCCCTAAATTATTTAAAACATTTAAGCTTACTATAACTTTGAGAAGGTCGCACTCACCAAAGAAGTCCAGCCTTCTGAGGATTTTACTTTCAAACTAGTCTTGCTTGTGGATAATTCTGCACTTACCCTAATCGATTATATAGATACCCTCTGGTTCTTTCTCAAATTCATTTGTTTGCTCATCTATCTCTTTTTTGGCTATTTCAGGTTCTTATTATTATTTTTCTGGGGATAATTACTGCTATAACTATTATTATTCTTTTTAATATTTTAGTGCAGCTTCAGCTATCTTTTCTTTTTAAATAATTGAATCCCTCGGCTTAGTTTTCTTTTCAATGAGTGAAAATATATTCTTCGTCCTCTAAAATCACAATAAAATTAATAAACTATATTTTACATCTTTTTAGTATTCCGCTGCACTTTTTTGGTTCTTAAATAATTGATCGCCTTAATCAGTAGATATTGTTTTCATTTGACTTTGCTTATTCGAGTTAATATCTTAGACTCCTTTCTTTCTCTTTTTTATATCTTAAGCTATCTTACTAATTCTTAGGTCATAATACCCACGATATACTGTATTAGTTGGGGCCTGTTTAGACTAAGTAACAATAATTTCACCTTTTTAATACTTTCTAATTTCAAACATTTCAAATACCAAAGTCATTAGAGTAAGATCATTGAGCTTGTTAAACATGTGATGGCAGCTGATGATATTTTTTAGCACTAGTTTGTCATTTTACTGTAAGTCTTTCCAAATAGTCTCAAAGTATTCTAGCTCGAATATTGCAACCTCAGTGTCAACTTAGCAGAAAAACCAAGTCTCTACTGAGTTGAATATTTCAGAGTTCTCTTGATGAAAATTCAAAATATCACCCTCCATAAATTTAGCATAGGTTTAGGGGAGCATTACATTCCTTTCATGATTTTTCATTAAAATTGACCCACTTACAATCACATAAACTTCCTTCGCCTCAAAAAACAAAACCTAATTTTTCTGGTATATTTTAAGTTTCATAGTATCCATAATCTCTCTCTACCTCTTAATGTTGAATCTTTAAAAGAATGAAATTTGTCGCAAGGTCTTAATTACTGTTGGCTTGTGCTTATCAATCCATTTAGGATCTTCGTTGTCGAAAAGGTATTTATGAGATTTATCTGTGGGATCGAGATAGAATTATATGAGTTTTCTTCGATCAACATTTTCAGCCTCATACTGTTCGAGAATGCCTTAGAATCCTTCAACATATTCCATAATTTTCTATAATATAAACACAAAGAATATATTACTTTTCGATTGACTTCGATAGGCATTAAGATCATACCAAAGATATATTTGGCGATCTTATTCCCTTCTTCTCTATTAAAATTCTTAAGTAACTAAAAGTAAATCTTTTCTGATTCCCCATATCTCTTTAGGAATTTTAAGCAAGTAGCTTGTAAGTACTATAAGTATCCTAAAGTCTCATCATAACTATGGTCAATATTTTTCTCTTTTAGTATCTATATTCCTTTTTCAGCACTTGTCAAAGCATCTGAAGCATTTCCATCTTTGAATTGACATAAGCATAATCCTAGATAAGCCTCGTATTTATCTTTTTCAATTTGTATAGCATAACTGTACCATTTACTAGCCATTTGAAATCTTTGCTAAAATTCATAGCAATTAGCAAGATTCAATATTGACTTAATATGCCTTTGATTCTAAAATGGTCACTTAAATATATTATTACTATTCTTATTGCTTGACGGTAGGAATCAATTGCACTTTCAAGCTGGAAATCTTTGAAATGGTCATATCCTTTTATAAACCAGAAATCAGGATCATTGAAGTCCAGTCTCTTGTTCCTCACTTTGGCAGAAGGTTTCATTTCAACGGGTAATTTATCAATCTTAATTTTCCTTTTGTCTACTTCAAGGTTTACAACTGGCTCTCTCTAATCGATCTCATCATCAACTCTAAGCTCGTTTACAATTGACCTATCTAACTTTTACTCCTATCTCAATTGTGAGTTGATAATGACTGATGATCTAGCTTTATTTTGGATTTGAGGTTTTACATTTAGTAAAGGTTGTTTTAAATTTGGTGGATAATTAGTGTGATATTGAGCTTTATTTATAATATACTCCTCAATAGCTTCTTTCTTAGACTACTCAAATATATTTTACACATTTTATGTCGCATCTCTTTTAGTGAAGGTAGAGTAAAAATTCTGTTCGCTCATAGTTAATGTCATATTATGAAGACTTTACACAGTATATCCAGCATTATCGGTAATCCAAAAGTCCTAGGGATGTTTTTTGTTGTCTTGGTAAGTTTCATTCGTAGTGTTATAAGTGAGACTATTATTGTGCCTTCTTCTATTATGAGACTAGATAGCTGATTAAAGTCTTTTAGATTATCTAGTTGTATCCAGTGTTTCCTTAAGAGTTTTATATTAGCGATCATCAATTGTAGTCTGATTTAGTTTACTTTTATTAATATTGCTCTCAACTTACTAGATTGTTTTATTCTCGTGAATACTTATATTTGATTTTTCTTGCAATTTAAATGGATTTGGATTTCTTTTGGTTCTATCTCTAGTTTTCTTTATATTGATTAAAGTCTTAGCAGGTAATCCCCCAATATCTCTGATTAAATCTCTTTATTATTAAGAAAATTTTTTGAGAACTTAAGTATCCTAAATGTCCTTCTTAATCTTCCTGAAGTCATAACTACCACTCAAATCTATATCGGGCCTTTTCAAAGGATGCTCCTCACTTTCTATTACCACAGATTTTGCATCCTAATGATACCAATAAAATCTATAAAAATATTATTTTCATTGCTTATAACAAATTTAAATTCATTTACTTTGGCTTAAGTTCTTCAACCTTTTTAGTAACTTATCTATCAAACTAATCAAATAAAATTTTCTTACACAGAGCCCTTCATGAGATTAAAATTGTTTATTATTTATTGTTGTCTTTTCATGATTAATGACCTCTACTTATCTTGAATGGTACTCTCTCTTCCAACTTACTGATTTTTCCTGCCCTATCTCTAGTTTTCAAGGTAAGCCAACTATATAATGTTAAATTGCATAATTCTACATTATTCAACATTCTCTTATGTCTAACAAGTCTTTCATATGGAACATTTAAGCATTATGCCTGCCAGTCATCAAGAGCCTCTTCTGTAACTACGACTTTAATATTTCCTCTTTTCTTTTTCAAATTTCTTGCTGTATAGTCCTCCCCTGCAAATTTTTATGTAAAATCTTGAAAGTGCTAATCAGTTATAGACCTATGTAATTACAGCAGATGTTCCTAATGGAAATGGCATAGGCAGCCTTGCTTCTACTTCTCTGTATGGCTCCATCTTGTCATACTCACAGAATTTATGTAGTTAGCATTTTTCCTAGGAAGTTGAAACCAAATATTTTACTAAAGACTTTTTGAAAAGATCATGGTTTGAGGGATATTCCTTCATAATGTGGTACATTTCATCATCTACTGCGTGCTTGATTTATTTTTCCATTCTTATAATTTAAATTGGGATACAGAAATATTTTGATATTTTATAAATTGTAAATTTAAGTTTTATTTTTGCTTATTCAAAATTATGTGTGATTTGAAAAACAGGGGTTTTGGGGTTTTGGGG